TCTGTAGAGTAAAAATGCTCCTTCAAGGAAATAGTTGTCTGTCTGTCCTCTTCAAATATCACAAAATTGCCCATCTAACCCTTATATACAGTAGAGGTCTTTAGGGAATTGTGTGTTTAGTCCTTGCCTTGGCTTTGTTGAACAAGTATCTAATTCAGGAGTAATATTACTGAATATTTGAGGTAAAGGCCACAAAAGTTTGGAAGTGATAATAAACGTACATGAATTATTGCATGTTCATTTAATGGAGTAGAGAAATGTGCAAACCCTCCGGAGCTGGGAGTAACTACTGTAGTTCCAATAACTGGAATATTTGCTGGCTGAACAGCAGAAGAGGGAAGGGCATAAGTTACCATATAACAGATGCATTTTTGGAAACTGAAATTTATGCTGTTAATAATGTATTTGGTTTCATGCATTGATGGCTTAAATTTCAGTAAAACGCTCAATAATGCATGACTTCTACACAATGAGAAAACATTTTTTTTTTTAGGAAGGAATTCATGATGAGTTTATTTACTACTTATTCTAAAGTATTTTGTTAATTTTTTTCCTGCTTTATGATTTTCACTTGACATGCTAGTACCATTTACAAAGCTAAGCCATGTGATAACTATAAACTTCTATTATCTATTACTATTTGAGCTTCTCTTTACCCTTTGAATCCATTGTAACTTTTCTTTTACTGCATTCATAGTTTTTAAAATTACATATAGCTAACAGCATGTGGTGGGTTTGTGTGTGGACACAGAAGTTTTGGAAGCGGTGGTTCCTTAAATGGAAAAGTGTGTGGTAGGCTATTTCTCCTGGTAGGCTACTTTTAAAAAAAAAAAACAAACCAAAACAAAAACCTATCAGTTACTTGCCTATGGTGTTTGGAATATCACAAATTTGAAAGATATGAGTCTTGCTTTTGTAAATGCACTGGGTGTCTGTGCCCCAGTGCTGCCCGGGAGGCTGTGATGACATCTGTGAGGAGAGGCCAGGGCTGCCCTGTGCAGGACTCTGCAGGGCACAGCTGAGCCCAGCAGTGAAGATGATGGTACCTCCAGGAAAATGTTAAAAAAAAACAACCAACAACTTGCTCAGCAGGCTGTGAAAGAGGAGTGAGAATACGTGAAAGAAACAGCCCTGCAGTCACCAAGGTTAGTGAAGGAGGAGGGGGGGAAGGTGCTTCGGGTGTCAGAGCAGATTCCCCTGCAGCCTGTGGAGAAGACCATGCTGCTGCAGGTGGCTATGTCCTGAAAGAATCTGCAGCCTGTGGAGATCATGCCAGAGCAGGCTCCTGTCAGGAGCTGCAGCCTGTGGAGAGAAGCCCATGCAGGAGCAGTTTTTCTGGCAGGACTTTTGACCCAGTGTGGGACCCATGCTAGAGCAGTCTGTCCCTGAAGGACTGTGTCCTGTGGTGAGGACCTGACGCTGGAGCAGGTGAACAGCACGAGGAAGCAGAAGCAGCAGAGAGGAGCAGTTATGGACTGACCATGACTTCTTTTCCCTGTCCCCCTCCACGGCTCAGGGGAGGGAAGGAGGTAGAGGAGTGGCAAGTGCAGGACTGAAGGTGAGCCTGGAAAAGGAGGGGGTGGAGAAAGGTGATAATAGTTTTTTCTTTGTTTCTCACCGAGTTGCCCTATTTCAGCTGGCGATAAACTGATCTTGCTCAAGTCAAGTCTGTACTGCCTGTTACCCTGGTTGATGAGTGATCTCTCTGCCTTGATGCTGACCCATGAGTTTTTTCATCTTATTTTCTTTCCACTCCCCTTTTGAGAAGGTGGAGTCAGAAAGCGACTGGGTAGACATCTTAGGATCTTAGCATCTAAAAACAAAAAGGGCAAAATGAGATCATTCATAAATTAGCTCAGTTTTTGAAGCTAATTGAAACTTAAACTGCTGTCACTTCAGTTTCAGAGTGAATGCTGCAATTAAAAAACAATGGCAATTGCTTCTTTGACAGGATTCTATTCAGAATTGACTGTTTCAATTAATAAATTAACATGTGTTATAAATCGCTTAAACATCAAATCAGACGCTCTTTTAAGTGTGCAGTGTTATATAATAAGACATTTTCAGTGTCTGAGGCTGTGTAATCAGGAAAAAGTTCTCTTGATAAAGACTGGTATTACTATAAACTGATTTGAGAATGTCTGTTGCCATTAGTGTCTAATGAACTCATATCTAAAACATTAGATTGTAGAAAAAGGTATTTGTGTGTGCAGATAGGATATTTTTAAAAATGAAGATTCTAAAGGTGTTGCAAGTCTTCATCTCTAATTACTTAGTACTATTAGGGGTAGGCTTGGTTATTACTTGGACTTTCCAAATTTAAGATCTTCCTATGATTATAGGTCAATTTAAAAAAATGTATTGTGGAAATTAATTTATCACTTGCAAAGTTTCAGTGTCTTGTTAACTAATAGACTTCATCTGGATGAGCAAGCACACAGAGCTGCTAATATGCTTTGCATAAATACTAAATCTGTCCTTGGGTTCCCAGCTTGGCTTCTCTAGTACTGTTTTATTGCTACATGAACTGAAACAGTGTGAGACTGGAAGCTTTTCTGGTGATGATGGACTTCCTTTGGCTCACAACTGATTTCTTAGAGATCACCATTGCTGTAGTGCTGCTGCTGAATTTCTAGTGCCCTTTGTCCTCATGTTGCCTGCTTGTTGTTCCGTGTTCCTGCTGCATTACGACTTACTTCTCAGCACCCTCAGAGCCCAGCCTGTAATTGCTAAGTTTTCTACTTGGTTAGCAAGGCTACGTGCTGTGCTCAAGGTGATAGTTAAATACAAAGACAAAATGGGGAAATCTGAAGTAAATGATAAAACTAGACCTGTTATGTCCTTCTAAAATGAAGTTTTTGAATACAATTTTAAACTCATTTGATGTGTGGTTAGATATTGTATATGTGTCATCAGGTAAGCTATGGAAAACTTGTAAGCTAAGAATCCTATTAACTCTGAAATCGGATTTGGATTTCTTCAGGTTTGCCTGCATATCCAGTCTCTTCTGTAGTCCTAGTGCTCTGTTGTGGAGCCCATTGATATCATTGGTATGAACTATTAGTGCCTTTCTCTGTTCCAAGGTATGTCTTTAAGCACTTGGTGGTATGAAACTTTTGACATTTGGAAAATAGTGCCAGGAAATTTGGCCCTCCATTGCTACTAAGATTACCAAGGCATTGTGTTAGTAACTGTCTATGCTTTTTCACTCTTTGCTGATGGCAGTAATATGCTGTGCTTAGGTGCATTGCTTCTATTTGCCATGAAGCCTGTGTATTAGTAATAACAATTCTAGGATTTTTTTACCATGTTATTTCTCACTGGAGAACCAGTAAGATGTGGAATATAAGTCTTTCTTTAGGTGCTTTAAAATATATATGCGTTCTGCTGCATCAAATATACTGACCTCCTTTCTACGTACTAAATGTTGCCCTTGAAGTCCTGCCTCAACACAGTACACTTCTAGTTTTCTTACTTCTTCCCTTGGTGTTGTAGCACAGTGGGTGAGGAAAAATTACCTACTGCTTCCCTTTGAGTCTATTCCTCTGAGATGTGTGTTTTGGAAAGTGACTTGAGGGTATCTAGTGGTGGTGCGTGAACCTGCGAGATTATGTTGTAGCCAGATGTGATTGTATTTTTCTCTTGAACTCCTCCATACCATACCACCTCACTAATTACTCACTGCTGATGTCCTTTTCCCTTGCATTAAGTAAGTCTACCTGGACTTTGCATTTTTCGCTTGTTCTCAGAACAAGTCTTTTGTTTCACCCTTTCATAGTAATTTGCTAAACAAATTTCCACCTGCTTCATTGTTCAGGTGATAGGTTAGTCAGCAGTTCGTTAGTGAATTTTTTTTTAAATATCATCCAATTGTCACTGTGTTACAAATATCCGTGATTCAGCAGATGCAGCAGATGCAATTATTTGGTGGTTGTTCATGTTCTTTGGTATCTTTTCTCTATTGGCTCTTTGAATTTTTAAAATGTAATAAACTAATAATTTTACTTTGTGAGAAATGGGTTAAGAAATGCAAGGATCTTCGGTTCAAAGTGTTTAAAATAAGCTCCTGATGGCTATCTTTAGGCTGTAGCACAGGACATGCATTATTTTTGCAGAAAGTGTTTTCTTGTATGGCATTGTATTCCCAACATTAAAGCAAATGTAACAAAATAATTTTGAACAGATATGTAACTCACCCTGAAATATGGGCTTTGGAGTAGCCAACTATCTTCTGAATTTGGGGTTTTTAAGCCACTTGTGTCAAATAGAAAACAATATCCACTATTCTTATGGGCAAGATAAAAATGAAAGCTTTTCTTTATTGCAGTATTAAGGTAACATTATGCTTTTGCTGAATTCCATGTTGGAATTAGTGTCTGGGCAATGATGCTAAACCGTGGATAAGGGGAGTGGGGAGGCAAATTCATGACATAATTAAATGGGGCATAGGAGAATAAGTACATATATTTTATTTTCAGACTATAGGAGTTACTGAGAGAACTCAGGTGTCCTTGCCATGAATTTATAAATTATGCATCTCAGAAATTGTAAGTCGGAAAAGATAATGGAATAATTTTAAATTTAAATATCTTTCTCTAACTTCAATAACTGTGCAGCTTGTGCATTTCCTTACATCAACAGATACTCCTGGGGTCAGGGGAACACAGAAATAAACACTTTGTTTTGCATAGGTGACATAAGATGCAATGAGAGTCTAGATGTAAATTTTAAATGTGTCCATCTTGTAGGGTTGTTTTTTTTTCCTAAATATCTGTTGCATTAAGCCTTGATATTTTTTAGCTTGCTTCAGTCACACCAATATCTCTGCCATTGTGCTACAATCAGAGGCTTTAACCTTGCAATAGTGCTTTTCATAGATCTGTAAAGCAAATATAATTAGTTATAGCTTAATAACTATGACTATATGAAGAGTGTTGAAGGGGGAGGTAATTTTGTACAAGAATCTTACTATGTTGAATAACTTTGTTTTTCTTTAACAGAATTCCTGTCAATATTGCTGGTGTTGTGCATTCTGGAGATATATTTCTACTACAGATACTACCAAGCCTTTGCGAATGGGATGAACACTCTGCTGTTGATTGCCTACTAACAGTAACAAGCTGGCACTTCACTGCTGATGTTCTCATTCTTACATTTTCCTGTTGGAGTTTGCTTACACTGATTTTCAAAAAGAGGAAGAAATCAAAGTGGAGTACCGCAAACTTGACATGGATAGTAAAAAGAAAGACAAGGACAAGCTAGATGAAAGAATGTCACGGCCTAGTGGGAGGTCAGGCCATAATTCACGTGGAACTGGTTCTTCAAATTCTGGAGTGTTAATGGTTGGACCTAACTTCCGAGTTGGCAAAAAAATCGGATGTGGTAACTTTGGAGAACTACGGTTAGGTAAGATCCTTGTTTTTTTATTTCAGTTTACATTATTCAAGACCATTGTATGTGGTCTAGGCGTGAAAATGTTTACGTGAACACACCAAACTACTCTCTTCAAACAACTTCTCTTCAAGCTCTCTAAAGATCTTCAAACTACTTCCAAGCTTTACAGAGATTAAATTTGCTTTGGATGTCTTTTGTGGCTCAAACCTGACCAGTGCAAGTTCTATTGCATATTAAGAAACTCTGTAGGAGGAGACTTTCTGGGACTAAAAATGTTTCGTAATTGTGTATGGTGCTATCCTAAATTCAGTCAGTCTTTTCCAAGAAATTATTTCATTTTTATTGTAGTTTGCTACTTTTCCTGGATTCCTGAAGCAGTTTATTCAGTTGGATTTGAGGCTAAGTGTATGTGAAACACATCCTCCTCCTACAGGTCTGGCTTATAGTACTGTGGTCCTGAAGATCTCTTGGAGACAGTGTAGCACGCACTACAATGTTTTTAATAGCAGAAAACTCTTGGATTCTGTGGTTTCCTTTCCATCATCAGTAGTGTAGTGAGGCTAAAGAGTGACCTGTTATACAGGGGCAGTGAGAATCCATCTGTAGAGAAAATCTGGGAGATGGGTAATGGAGTCATTTAGTTTCCTGCTGAACAGATGGATGAAAACTGAATGGTGAGAAAGGGACAGACGGAGAAGGACTTGTGGAAGTTCGAAGAACTTGAGTAGAAAAGCTGGAAACATTACCATTTATTAAAATAGACAGTAAATGACAGCTGTGTGCTTTTGGAAGACTATATATTTATTAAGGGGACTTAAATTTCCACAAAGACAGCATGATTAACCAGGGCTTTCAAGATCTGGGAATTCTGTGTGTGTTAAGAACTATAACTTTACACTTGATGGCAAGAATTTATTCCAGTATTCCTGGAAGTTCCTTGAGTTAACACACTGTGTCAAGGTTTAAAGACAGATCAGTCAGAAGTAGGATATTTGATAGTAGGGTAGGCTATGTAGATGTTGTTGTGTTTCTGTTGATCTTCTGCCTCTGGTAAAACTACTACTCATTGTCCTCAGAAAATATTTTTAATATAGTGCTTGCATAAAATATGTGTCCATATATGCATGTTTATAACATGCAAAAAATATAACATTTTTTAATATAGTGCCTCTGGGGGCCTTATATTTAGTCTGAGTTAGAAAGTAAATAGTTAAACAGGATTGATGTATTTTGATCTTCACAGAGTTATATATGTGCCTCTGCAGTTCCCAAGTCAAGCTGAAACTGTCTTCAACTTGTCCTAAACATTTCTAAACTTGCTTTGAGTGATACTTTTTCCTTTAAACCTCTCCTTGAACTAAATCAAACCAGTATAATTAATGACATGTTTACTACTGAAGGCAATTATAGACTAAAAAAGTGGCGGGGTTTTTTTCTGTCTTTTGTCTGGGAGTGATTGCAATGTATAGAGTTGATTGTCTTTCAGATCAATATCAGATTAAAACATTTGCTTGCAGCAGACAAAGTGAAATCTTATATTTCATTATAAATATACTATTAAAGTGGTTAAGACCTTAAAGGCTGATAGCACTGAAATAAAATAAGACAAACAAGTAAAGTAGATAGGAGGAAGATAATAGTGTACTGCACTGTCTTGTCAGCCATCAGGGCAAGTGCAGGCTTTCTCTGTTTAATATTGTCTTTTTTTTTGCTTATGTAGTAATATTTCAGAACCTTATTTATGGTTGATTGTAGTATAAGGTATCTTAAATATAAGTTACGGAAAGCAGGAGTTAAGACTGGTATTACAGATTTTGATTCAAACTTGTATTTTTACATTACTACAATAGCAACTAACTTTAAAGCAGGCACCTCTCCTGCAAAGATGTACACAATCATTTAATTTGTGTAATTCTGCAAAATGGAGTATATTTTGAGCATGTGTCTTAGGGTTGAATCTTAAAGACTTAAAGGAGGGATAAAGTTGTTAAAGTGGTGAAGTTGCATTTCAGGAGATGAAAGTTCAGTTGTAAATCAGTAGCCATTGTAGTTTGTACACCTGGGAAGAAAGAAGTGGCCAGACTTTTGTATTGGCTTGTGGATCAAATGGTAAATTTGCCATATGTAGCAAATGAGCATCTGATGTGCAACCATTTACTTGCAAAGGACTAAATTATTTTAAATTTTGGAGTTGTTACTCTTCTGAGTTACTGTTAAGATAAATTGATGGGGTAGTAAAAGAAATCTTGTTGCTGCTGCATGTGATTCATTACACAAAACCTGCTCTGTGCTTAGAATTAGGTCAACAGTGGTGTCAAATCTGCTGTCTTCCATATTTTAGAGGCAACTGTCTTGAATCACCACATGGAAAGTTCTGATGATTCTTCAGAATGTCCCTTATGATCTTTCTTCAGAAGGGTAAACCTTTCATTACTGCGTTTGGTTACTGGAACCCAATATTCAGTCACTTATCTGTAACTGGTTTTGTTAGGTAATCCAGTAGTTGATTTACATATCTAATAGACTGAGTGAGCAGGGTTCCTGCAAGAGTTTGGTCTTTTTTTTTAATGTCTTCTAGGTTGTAACAGAATGCAAAGATACGGAAACAAGTTTAAACAAAGTATACCTTTTGTTTAAAAATGTGACTTAATTATTTCTTATATTATTATCATTTATTTAAGATTCCTGAAATTTGACTGTAGTTCCTGGAATAGGTTTTGGAATTATCCATTATTTTGGTGGTCAGATTAGGGCATGCTGCCCATGCTGAGTCTGTCTTTATTATCATACAGCCTTCAAGTAAATTGCTTTTTGTAAAGTTGATCCCTTGAAAAACACATGATTTTAATACATCCTTTTCCAGCTTTGTAAGAGTATTTGTAAAAATAAGTATTGGAGTTGAGATGGTAATCGTTGACTATAAATATAACTGTCTTTGCAGGGAACCTTGATCTGGTGTTTTTCCCTGTTTGGTTTCTTTAACAAAACTGAGCTAAACATGGGAAATTCAGACCTGAATAATACTACAGAGAAAATAAAAGTAGGTTTGTCATTAAAATGAATACACACAAAACTCATCTGAAGACTGTAGAGAAACAAGAAGTATCAGAAGTGACAATTTTTCCTTTATCTGCAATTTTTATAGCATTACGTCTATAAAGCTTGCTTAGTATTTTCATCATTGCATACAATTTGAAGTAATGCTTGTTGAAATAAGCTTATCCAGTTAACAGAAGAACATTTAAAGCAGCAGATGCATTTTTTGGTGCAAATGGTGTAAGCATTTAGCTCAGTAATATTGTTGCCTTGTTTGTTCTGACTTTAAGCTTAGTCAATTACAGAATTCAGGAAAAAAAATACTAGTTAATTCTAACTTTAGTTAGTGTTTGGTGTTCTAAAACCATATAATAATTTTAAAATAAATTTTAAATAGTTTTTAGCAATAAATATGGAGAAATAAACTATCTCATTCCACTTACAGTAATTCACCAAATTTAAATATTTTCTAGAGTATAAAGTTTTGCAAACTTGGTGAAAGAGCTGAAACTGTCTTAGTGAACCTGCCACTTGTTATGCTATTCAAGAATCAAGTTGTTTTAAAAGTGTGGTATCAGACTAGTAAAGCCACATGTTTTTAAGATACTACCAGAACACCTAGCACTTTAGATCAAAAATGTTTCCATTACTTTCTTGAGGTTTAAATGGCCTTTTATTTGAACAGGAAAGCCAATGTCTCACATTCTTGTTTTTGTTCTTTTTTTCAAGGAAAAAATTTATACACAAATGAATATATGGCAATTAAGCTGGTAAGTTTGTTTATTTATTTATTTTTAAGGATTTGGAATGAGAAACTAATCGGAGCTTTCCTTTCATTTATAGTAGCTTGAATTCCTTATTTGAAATCCTTAATAGTCTTGTATGTTTTCAACTGACTAGATGAAAGCAGTTAGTGATAGATGTAATTATATGCTTCAGCTATATTGAGTAAAACCAGTGTTAATTGTGACTGTTGTCAGAGCTGAATGTTTGTTTGTGAGGTTGATGATAATTCACTGCTACTTCAAGGATATGCTCAGCAGTCTTTCTAGTAGATTTCTTTATTTTTGTGCAACAAGTAGATCAACACCAAATTTAATGTGAATCTGGCACTGACAATCTGGTTTGGTGGACATGTGTTTGCAATGATGTGTAACAATATTTCCTTTGCTTACAAACATGGTAAACTTGGATATTTTGTTAATATGTCATTGTTCTGCTTTTTCTGAATCTTTCATCAGAACTACTCAGTTTACTTCATGTTTTGCTTCTGCATAATTTTAACTTCTTGGTAAATGACTGGTTTTGTAACCAGAGCATTTCAAGATGAAATTTGGTTGTTCATTTTTTGTCATTGAAGGAATTTTAGGAGTCACATTAATTTCTTGTTGCCGCAGTAGGACAAAGTTTTTCATAGCATAATACGGTGAATTTCTAGTTCCATAATGTGGGAGATCAATTATGTATACAGAAACACATGGCTTTAGATGGGGATTCTAAAAATCATAGCAAATAAACATATTTTTCAGGAGTTTATTATGTGTATCACTATCCTTGCTTAGAAAAATACTTCAGTGGTAGTCACAGATTTAAAAACATGCAAATTATGGTTTGAAAGAGCAACATTGGATGCAGTTTTGAGGGTTGTTGTGTGTGTTATACCAGATCTAAGTTCATTTTGTTTTAAAATATCTTGAACTTACTCTACGTGTTTGCTAAAACTTGAAAATGGTCTGAGAATTCCTCTGGTTTAAAGGCTGTTTGCTCTAAAGAACATTCAGAAATAGTTTGCAATAAGTTTTTCCTAAGCACTAATTACTTGATAATTTAGAGTCAGAAAACTTAAACTGGTTACTGGGTTTTGGAAAAGCCATTTTTATTATATAAGTACCTACTAATAAACTCAGCTATTGTTTCAACCCATTTTAACTTTTAAAGATGCTGTTCAGTGGCAACTTCTATTTTGTTTCCAAATTACGCAATCATACAGCTGTTTATTTACAGTGGTGCAAAATCCTTCAAGTATCTTTATTCAATAACTTTGAAGTCATTAAAGAACCAGAGTAGTAAAGTTCGTCTGTAACTTACTCCTAGTGCTTAAAGAACTGAATATGTAGTTAACTTCTTGAATTTTCCTCTTACATTAGTGGTATAAAAAGCTATAGTGTCTTTGTAATAAACAACAGATGGAAGGAATCATAGTCAAAATCAGCATTGCAGCTTGCATCATCTTGTAGTGTAAATGCATTTATTAACAGGTAGAACTAGTAGGTTCTTTCAATACAGTTCTCATATTTTTAATATCTTTCAGTTCTTCTGAATGTTTTCAAATTGGAAGGGATTTGAGTCACAAGCTTCAGTCTTTTAAAAGCAGCTGCATCAAATTGCAGGGTTTAGTTGAAATTTGGTTTTTTGCTGTTTATTTCTCCTATTGGAGACGGTACCAGGACTTGGTAGGTTTGGTACAGTTTGGTAGGTTGCACTTTTTTGTAGTATGCTGTTCATTCCCTTCTAAAATGTAAGCCCAATAGTTTTTCCCTATTTCTGGCACTAATTCCTATTGTGTTTTGAGAGCACTTATTAGGCCTACACTCAATCTTTGTTTTGTTATCCTAAATGAGGCACTCTTAACTTACTCTGTTTTGCACCTGTTGTAGTTCTAATGTAGCCCTCCTGCATGGGTTTACCTGAATTATGTATGTATTGTAGCTTTAACAGTAACCTGTGGCAGGTACAGTTGTGGTAATCTCTCCTGTAGTGTCCTAAAATCAATTTGCATTCCTCATGGTAGCATTCCATTGGTGATGTACTGTTCTGTTGCCAGCAGCAAGACATCTCCTATGCCAGATGTTTTGTTATAAATGGTGGGTTTCTCTTGAGAGCATGAGTTATAATGGCTGCATTTATACAGCAGCTTGCAGGAGTGCTTCTGATGTTAAAAGTAAACGAATTTTATAACTACTGTTTTGATGTAAACCTTTCATTGTGGTGAATTAATATTTCCCTTGTGGACAAAATTACACAAGTATGTTTCTCTTAGTGATGCTTATGGTTACTTCAGAATTTATGTAAGGAAAATAGTTTAAATAGTTTTTCTGTGAGAGGCCTGAGGGTCATACAATGTATGCATTTTAATGTATAAAGTTGATATGTAAGTTCATATTTATCTGGTAAAATGACTACAGTTCCAGGGTCTTACTCTGACTTCTTTCATTATGGCCTGTTCTGGTTGGGCATATACTCAACTTTGAAAGGTAGAACAGATGTTTTTAGGAACTGGAATGAAACCCTTAGGAACTGGGCTTTATGAGCAGTGCATTTTTCAGTAGTGTTCGTATGTTTCTGCTGCTCTGTTAATACACAAACTGGTACATTGTGATCAGGTAGTTCTTCAACAATAAGCATGTGGTATACATGAACTGTACCTTTCCTGCTCACCTATAGATTTGTTGTTAGATTTACTTTTTTTTATTATATGATCCTCTACTTCCCTTAAATCTCCTATTCTATTTTCAGCTCTTCCCTTTCACAAATTTCCCCATTGCCCAAACTTACCTTCTCTGCAGGATTCTTAACCACTAACCAAGTATAAACTAAAGGAATTTCTGCTTGAGCTGTTCCTGGAAATAAGTCAATTTTTCTTTCTGTCTTTGTGTGAAACATAGCAAGTTATGAGGTAGTCACTGCTCATCTTAATTTGTAATCTTTAATTCAGTAATTCATTAGTTACTCAACTGTTAAGATTTTAGATCTTAAAATTTTAAGTGGGGTGTGTGGTGGAAGGAAGTTGCTGTTGGTTCCAGGGCTGAAATGTTTATTCCTTCTTTTTAAAAGAATTATTGCAGTCTAGAATGATAGCATTTCTGAACCTCTCTAGAAGGCTATAGTAAATGCAAATCAAGTCAAACTGTGTAATAGACAAACTTAGAAGAACCTCTCTGAACTAAGGAGCTGTTGTTTCTGCTGCTCAGGTAACTAGTGCTTAATAAACTGCACATTAATTCTTTGATGGCAGCAACACCTTGAGTCCCTCATGAAGAGAAGCAAATGCTCTTTTGCAGGGGAAATAAGCTATCTATGATTTAATATAGAAGCTTTGAAATAGACTTGAATCTGAAAGTGGTAGAGTGAAGGCCATTTACAGAGCACTGCAGAAATCCTGGAACAGTTCTTCCAGGATACTTTAGTGAAGACGTGAGTTTTTTGAAAGTAAACAAAATACATTAACTTCCTCTGGTAAGAGGAGAAGTTAGCTTCAGAGTCCTCTGGGAATAACACAATATTTGAACAGTTATGTGTTCCCAAGCTTATTTTTAGATGCTGAATGTACCAAACTACTAATGAAAATAGGAAGAACTATGATTTGCCATTTCTGTTTTTTTTCTTGAACATGCTTTTTAGACTTATTCATTAAAATATATTTAGTGATGTATTCTTCAGTCTTATGTTATGGTGGAGGATTATGTTTAACATACCTGTATCTTGATTTATCCTTATCTATCTGTCTTTTCTCATTAATCAGTGGTTTACTGCATACTGCAAAGTGGAGTGTGTAGGAAGAAAACAAATTTTATGTGAAGAGCTCATTGTGCTTGCCCCCTCACAACTATGGTTGAACAAAAGATTATTTCTTTTGTATGTTTGGAGTTACTGAACAGTCAGGAAGATATCTAAGGCTCTTTACAAAAATAAGTCAATTCCAGAAAGCTGTCAGCCAATAAATGGAATATAAATACATATTACCACTTTTTTGTCACTGTTACTGGAGAGAGTAAAAGTATTTAATTGTCTGTCTGCCACACAGTGTTTAACTTCAGTCTTTGACTCGTGTGCAGTTGTCAAGTAGACTTGTTTGACTGTTTAAGAACATTCTGCTTTCTGGAGGCCTGTCAGAACTGTTTCCTGCTGATGACTGGAACAATCAGCATTAATTTCTAAAAGTGTACATGTGTATGTCAAAAATTAGAAGCTGTTTCTTTCTACTAGGAGAATTTTTTGGGGGTCTAAGTAAATTTAATACATACAAGCTATTTTTCATCCTTACTATGGGAGCATCTTACAACCTTGAGTGGTGATCGAGTTTTTAATGTACAATTAAGGCAAAATTGTATAATTGAATAAAATCAAAGTGCTCATCAGCCAGTGTCTTTTCTTAGTATTATTCAGCATATGTGCAGAGTTTGATGGAATAAAATATTTTCTTCTTAGCAGGCAGAATTTCAAGCTTTAATTTGAGACTATGTAGAGAGGGGTATGTTTTGTAACTAACAGACTTGTATAATAATACTGCAGGCAATAGTATTAGTAGCTAAATTTGTGTGGTTTTGTAAAAGATTAAAATGTTTCAGTAACGTGCTTCATAGTGGATTTACTTACACTTCTGAAACCTGAGTACTGAAGTTTGATAGGTGCACTGATTTGCAAAATCAAATGCATAAATATACCTTGACAGTTTTTTGTGGTTGGACTGGCCACTGAGATGGACAACAGGGACTTTGGCTGTAGCAGTAGCTGCAATTTGAAACATCTGGGTGCTGGGGGAAGATGAGTTGAGGAAGAGAACTAAGTTTCTCGTGATTGCACATTGGCTTATGGTTTCTATAGCCTGGATGTGCCACTGGGAAACAACACAGGTTGATAAACTGTTAGTTTATGAAGGAGATAGTGTGAGGGAAGAGGTAAACACTTTTACCAAACTTTTCCTGAAAATTTATGTCCAGCAGTATTTGTTATTGCTGATAAGTGTATTAACAGTCTTACAAATTACATGCTACGAATCTAGTAGGAGCAATCAGAGTAGAAATACTGCACAGTTAATGTCCAGTTTATCACTGATGCATTGGAAGATGTACATACTGCAAGAAACTGAGCATAAAGACACTGTAGGAAGTTGCTTTAAGAATCTTAAGATAAAGTTCCTTTACTTTGTAAAGGGAAATACACAGGAAGTTAGGACTTTCATTTAGGCTGCTTTTGTGTTCCTGTGCTTGATCTCATGTCACTATTCTATGAAACCATGCCACATTAGGGTGTACAACACAGAACTAAGATGTCATTAACTTACGTACGTTATGTTGGGAAAAGAAAGGTTTGAACTACAAACTTACTCTAGTGTCCTTTTGTTTCTAATTTATAGCTTAGAATGATGCTATTTAATTTCTGCTAAGTTCTTAACGATTTGGTGGAAAGATATGGTATCTTTTTGTCAAGATTCTAGGATAAAACTTCTTTTTGTAAAGATACATTTATTGTGTATAACTAGAGTGTGGATAGCCTTTTCAACCTGTTAAACTGCCTATCAATGCCATTTTTTGATAGCTGCAAGACACATCATCCATATGCTTTGGGGAGACGAAGTATTTTTTAGCTATTCCATTGTGGGTCTGTGATTGGGTTTTCCTGTTCAACCGCAGTCCCATGGAGCAATACAAGATGCAAATGACCCAATATGCTCTAGTCTCACCTGAGAGGTTTACGTTTCTTAGTTTCTGATTACCAGTCATTTCAGAAGAAATATTCAAACTTTCCATGTGGCCTAGAAGCAGTAGGGTTCACTTGACTGGTGATAAATTAGTGTATTAGTTTTTAGGCTTTGGCAGAGAGGCTTTATTTTAAATGTTGTTTTTGTTTTTAAATCAGGAGCCAATGAAGTCGAGAGCACCACAGCTACATTTGGAATACAGATTCTACAAGCAGCTAGGATCTGGAGGTAAAAAGCAGTGTCATGCATTTTCTGTGATGTAATTCAGGATCAATTTTTCACAGAACTTTTCCGATTTAGGGGTATAAATCTAATAAATTGTCCCTGTTATTTAAAGCAGAAAAAAGTCCCATGAGTCAGTGGATTAATGTATAAATTTTTCTACTATTGTAAGACTTTTTATTCTGCTCTTAAAGTGTCTATGAAATCCTGAGTTACTACTAAATCCTATTTAGTAGTCTTAAGTATCACAGAATTTGTGTGCATATGGGTATATCTTAAAGTAAGCACTTAGAGTATTCCCAGTGTGTTCTCTTTCAATAAACACTATAAATGACCAAACTGCTACCCTACTACTCGCATATTTTTATTTAAAGTTGCTATGATATTTAAATACCTTCAGTTTCAGTTTTATTTCACAGCATATATTGCTCCTTACTAGTTTTAATACTAGTTTAAATACTTCTAAAAAAGTTTAAGTGCAGTTTAAGATTTTAATTTCTCATTTGACACCGCCTGGTGCTTTTATAGTCAGAAATCCTCTTATGATTGTCCCCTCATAAAAGGGGACCTTTTGCTTTTGTACATGAGCAATACCTAAAAATTCTCGTGTATTTTCATGCCCTTCACAAAACTGTATATCGTCAGTGAGATGTGAAGCTTTTTAAACTAAGAAGTATAAATCTTCCTTAAATCAGTTATACCCTAGGAAGAATTATCAGGATACCTTTTCCTTGATAATGTTCCTTTTATTCGTAGAAAAATTTTTCTTAGGTGATAGCTACTTTTTCAATTTTTTAGTAATGCAGGAGTTTATTGTATAAAATGGACTTCTAATAGTTGCTTTTTACGTGCACGCTTGTTTGGTTTTGTTTTTTATCAAAGACAGCTTGGATTTTGTAATGGTAATTTTAGTTATGTTTAAACTACAATAAAATACTATTTAAGCTGAGAGGTCATCTCTGAAAGTCAGGGAATATGAAATGAACAGGCCTATACCACTTTCATTTTGTGGCTTTGAATGTTTGTGCTACGATGAATTTTAATACTTTTTAAACACTATTTGCACATTCAAAAATTTAGGATCATGTTGTGCATCAAAAACTTATTGATGCACAGACTGGATAACGTTTCCCTAGTCAGGTAGCTTTCAAAATTTTGTGCTGCTCTTTAGAGACTCTCTCCAGGTAAACATACTTTCCAATAATTTTAATCCATATAGAACTTGTTTTTAATGGTGTATTAAGAATGGTCTGCAACCAGGAGAGGTAATTCTTAGCAAGATATGACATTTTCCATCTCTGAACAGGAATAGACAAGTTGTAGAATGTCTAGTCAAAATGTTGAGTCTTACATGCTTGCTAATTGGAGAAATTCATCAGGGTGTATCTATTTTTTTGTAAGTAGTTGTAAATTGTCACCATGCACTAGACTGGCATTGTGAAATAGATAAGTAGAAAGCAGAGATCTCAATTGCTTAACTGCTGAGATATAGCAACTGCCAAATGAGGGATAGAACCCGGTTGTGAAAACCAAGGTGTAACTATCTGAAGTAGCAAAGGAGCTGTGTAATGGAGCTGGAATAAAGCTGTAATTACTAGCTTAGACTGCAGAAAAAAAAAAGACTACTTCTCAGAGGTAGGAACTGTTATGGAGGTATTTATTGGGAAAAATGTCTTGGAAAATGCAACTTTGTTTACCTTTTTTTTTACTGAATAAGGTTGGGGGACTGTGTTTAATGTAAGAATGTAGGCAAGTCAAATTTAGTCTGCTTTACTTATGATATTCTGTCTTTGTAATGCTTTTTGTTGCTTGCAACAACTTAATCACTTTGTTGCCTCATTGAATTACTGTAAGGGAAAACAATCTCTCTGATTCTTTGCATGAAGGTGAGGAGACCTTTGGGATGAAAACAAGAAAAAGCTGAAGATTTACTAGCCATCTTCAATATTTATGAAGAACTTTGTTATAGACTTCCTATTTTCCAAGTAACCATCTTCTATTCCAAAATGAAAGCCTCTGCCAGCAGGCATACAACCCTGTAAGCTCCTTTTTGAATCTTGTCTGACTTAGGCACCCAGCTTGAGGCTCATCTTAATGGGTTTTGCGGGAAAGACTCATCATGAAGAAAGTAATAATTATGCTCCCATCTTCTGAGAGGGAAGTTAACAGAAATAATGCTGCTTTCCTTGTCTGTCTGCAGCACTCTCCCTATCTCATCCTTGCAGGAGTTGGGCCCTCAATCCCAGAAGTCACGTAGCCTGATTATTTTAGAAAAAAGTTGCAGAATTACTTATGTCCTCTTGTAGTGTGAGGCAATTTGCTTTACCTTGCTGATTCTTTGTGACATATGTGTTTACTGCCAATTGTAACTTTAAGAAATTTTGTCACATGAACAGTTGGAAAAGAGTGGTAAAAAGCTGTTGTACCAAGTGATAAAATCAGGAAGCAGATAATCCTTCCTACACAGAAGACGGTAAAAATCTTATGCCAGGCCTATCCATATAGATAGTGTTGCTTTATGGGCAGTGGTTGTACTTCAGTCAGAGTAAATTGAAGGTGCAAGTGGTAGACGCATCCATTGTAGGATGTATAAAAATAGCTGTGATTGCTGGAAGAAATTTGAAGTATAGTAATTTTGAGCAGATAAGAGGTTTCTCTGGTAAGTAATTACTCACTGTACTAGCAGTTCCAGTTGTCTGGAGCATGCTGGCTTCTAAGCTTCTAAAATTCCATGTTTGCAGGCTTTATTAATAATGATGAAGTAGTCTTTCCTTAGCTGTTTTTGTTTATTCAGACAAAACTTCTTGTAATTTGGCTGATAGCTTTATACATGTGTGGATGGCTTATTTTGCATCTAATTGTATTAGACAGCCTTTCCACTTGTTCTCCTCGAGTACAGATGCATACATGTGTATTAATAACAAGTGACTACTGAAAAATAATTTCAGAAGCAATTAGTGAAAAGTGAATACTACTCCTTTTCTTTCCTAATTTTGTAATCAGTGCCATTATTTACTATTCACAACTTCATTTTTCACAAATAAGAACAAGTAATTCCACAGGTTATGCTACAAACAGACTTGCACTTAGTGTGAAATAACCTGAAGTTTAAGAGATAAAAACCTGTAGCCCCTGTGAAATCCTATTTTATTTGGGAGTGTCATGGGGAGGAGGGAGAGGCATTAACATGTGAATGAATAGTTCTGGAAGAAAATGAGGTTATTTTTCTGAAATAACATCCTAAAAGCAAGTTAAGAAAATGTTACTGGGCAACAGATTATTTTACCTTCTAATCCTTTTTAACAGAGCATCTTAGTACTACTTCTGATATTGAGCGCCCTTAATGGAAGGAGTAGCATTTTGAAATTGTATGTGTTCACTGTATTCCCTTATCTCCGTCAACTATTTGTCTACTTATTAAAAATGGATTTTGTAAGATTAAGTTTCTTTTTTTTGTAATGACCTTGAGACTTAGAAAATCATGCTCTATGCTTAATTTAAAACTTGTTAAAAGCACTTAAACTGAATCAATAAGGTATCTCTTGACTGTTCATATGCACTGTTAATCTGTGTACCGATGACTGCTGTTTTTATTGCAAGTTATTTGGGGGGGAAGCTGACAGTTTGGAGTTCCGTTGCTGCTGATACACTTTAACAGGGAGGTTGAAGTACTCGATTATTTATGTGAATATACTAATATTTACCTTTAACTGAATGAATGAGGGTGATCATTGCAAATTTATTTTTAAGTATAGTCCAACAAAAACTATAGGAAGTGGTACTGGCAACTTTTCTTATTTTGTGCCACTCCTTTCTAGCATTTGGCTTAAGGAAATGTACAGAATTTTCTTAATTTATATTTAAAGTATTTTTTTTTGCCTATAATAAGTGCAAGAGATCTATTAAGAATAGGTGTATATGTTAATGTTTGAGAAACAATAATTACTGACCATAAGAATCCTGGTGGTGTACAAAAGTTTGAACTAATTTTGGAATATAACATCACACAAAAATTTCAGAGATTAATCAGTGTTTTTGTATTAAATACAATAGATACCTGTAACTGTAAAGGAGGCTTGATGGAACAGTTCACAGAACTGAATTAAAGAATAAGGCCAGGAATGGCTTGAAGGTTTGCTTACCTAAGTATGACTTAGCAAATGTAGCCTGACTGACCACAAAGAGGGGCCTGCAACCCCTGCAGAGCTACAAGTAACAAGACAGGAAGGCTGGCACATAGGCAACAGTCATGAGGCCAGCACAATGTTATCTTATCTGTGACAAATGGAGAATTCCAAGAAGGAGGTAGCGTATGGTAATGAATTACTGGAAACTAACGAATATGTTAAAACACCTTACATGAATATGTATGTATGCATATATGTTGTCAAACCAACTCCGTCTGGCACGCACATTTGGAGGAGCGATCCCCTGTGCGTCCAGTGCTGCAATAAAGAATACCTGCTTAATAGTCATCCCGGCTATTGAGTCCTGATTTCGTCTTTCACGGCATCAGAACATTGTGAATGTTAGATAAATGGATATTTGATTTAATAAGGCTTACAATAAAAATGCATTTCTAATTCGAGTGAAGGGCCTAGAAGACAAATCATACGAAGAGCGGCTGAAGGAGCTGGGGCTGTTTAGTATGAGGAAGAGGAGGCTGAGGGGAGACCTCATCACTCTCTACAACTACTTGAAAGGACACTGTAGAGAGGTTGGTGCTGGTCTCTTCTCACAGGTAATTAACAATAGAACGAGAGGGAACGGCTTCAAGCTCCAACAGGGTAGGTTTAGATTGAACATTAGGAAGGAATTTTTCACTGAAAGAGTGGTCGGGCATTGGAACAGGCTGCCCAGGGAGGGGGTTGAGTCACTGTCCCTGGATGTGCTTAAGAGCCGTTTAGATGTGGTGTTGGGGGATATGGTGTAGGGGAGGACTTTGTAGAGTAGGGTAGATGGTTGGACTCGATGATCCCAAGGGTCTCTTCCAACCTCAATGATTC